CACCCCGCGCCTCTTGCGCACAGCGACGAGGACCTCTTCATCCCATGTTGCGGACAGGATGTCAGGCTCAATACGGACTTTCTTTTTCGAAAACTATCAGCGCCGTCGGCGCCCTGCAATGGCTTGCAGCGCTGGGCGCTGTTCATCAATACGGGACCTCGAGTTGTGCGACAGGATACTGTGCATCTGACGACATTGCCCGCGAGCTGTACTGTTCGCTCTGTTCCCTCGCAAACCATTCTTGATTACGCTCACTATTTCTGTCTGTTCGTAGACGCGGAAAGTTCGCCGGTGCTGGTTTTTTTCTTCTAACCCTTTGCCGGGCCTTCGCCTGCTTTGCGAATGGGGCAGCTTTCGAACGATAAGTGTCTAGGACGATAACCTGGCGCGCGCACTATGCTCCGTTCCTGACTTTGCTAGCCTAGAACCCTCCGCAACTTGAAGATCCGGTGTCCTCATGTTGGAACATCGGAAACTGCAATCGCTTCCACCAACAGATCTCTGCTTTGCAAGCGGTCCCCGTTGATAGGTGCGGGGAATTCATCCAAGATCTCAAGCAGCACGTGTTCTAAGTTCGGATGTGCCCTTCGTTTCCTCTCCGTGTTCTTTTGCCACCTCCCCACATCTCACCATGTCCGGAAAAAATCGTCTTCTCGACGAAAACCAAGCGCGCGCTGTCGCTTCCGTACTTACGGAGGAGTTCCAGGTTATCATCCGTAGGGACGATCCACAATTCTCGGGCTTCCCCACCGTTGGTCCATGGGTGGCGGACCGCATAGATCGCATCCTCGAAAACGCGCTATTCCGAACGGCCGACAAAGATGTAACGAGACGTTATAGGAGGGTACGCATAGAATCCCGTTCCCAAGGCGCTACACCTAAATATTCCGTATCTTCAGGCGGTCGATCGGAAGTTTCGGAACTACTACCATGGTCTTAGGTTACGCGAAAGCCCTTTCGGTGCGGCGGTCTTGAAGCAACTTATACCTCGTACTACGGCATTTCGCCTTTTCGAGAACGCAGTGAAGCAGGAACTTCTCGAGACGGACGATAATGGCGATGAAGATTATGAAACGCGCTTGAACACGCGATGGAGTGCTCTTACTCAGGACGTACGTGCGAAATACGAGAAAGAGGTAGAGGCAGTCGCCAAGGACGTTGAGCAGTAAGTGCACAACTTTTTCCTTTGCGCGTGTCAAGCTAATTCCATGGCAGCAATCGCGAACTTCTCGTCAATAATCTTCAGGTTGAACTAGATGCGCTTTGCCGAAAGGACACACTCGGCGGCATGGTAGCCGTCACGCTTCTTGGGTACAGAGACCTCAACACCAACGAGATGAAGATTTCTATGTACGTTCTCAAAACGTAATATCCAAATCCAATGCCCTAACTCGCTCGTCACAGGTGTGACGGGAGCACGTCGGATGCGACCCTGAAGTTCGGAAATAGCGACTCTGAGGAGAAGGCTGCTCTGTCTGCGCTGATGGAAACCTGGCGCGAGTTTTCGGACAGGACCATTCCTTGTGGGTTGACCTTGCATGGATACATGCTTCGGGCTTACTCTCTTTATGGCAGGTCTCCCTCTTCGCTCCGAAGCCTCCTCCCTATCTCAGGGTTACCCTATTCTCCGCAACAGCCGTAACATGCCAGTCTTCCCTGATCTTGACGCCATGAGCATATCCGCCATCACGCTCGAGGAGATTCTTTTTCGCTATTATAAGGCAGTATGGGGTGCGCTGGACCCACTCGTGACCACGATTCCTGATCTTATCCCGAAGTATAGTGTTTTCGCGCACTGGCCATAGCTCATGCGAGCTCCCATGGGACGATCTGATAAACAATGCGGTTGAGTATTATGATATCGACCGCTACGGCTTTATCTGCTTCGACAAGAACGAGCTCCGAAAGCCGGGCAGGTTATATTCTCTCGTCGCGGAGCTTCAGAAACGGTGTGGGATCGACTCGCCGGAGCCCTTCACGTTCAAGCCCTCGCCCACGACAGAGTCCGGGCCCTTTGATCGGCGCCTCCTGTCGCCATTTGCGCCAGTAGGTCGTAGCTTAGACGACGGTTCTGATAGACGGACGGACTTCAGCGATCATATGCCCTCATATGAGAACCCCATTTCCGACCCATCGGTGCGAGTGCTTTCTAAGTGACCAACCTGTGTAGAACGACTGACATGTTGACGTGGGCTCATGCACATGGCAGCTCTCATCTCAGGCGGTGTCCGTCTCGTTTTGGGGTACTCAATCAAACACCGCTCCCATGTCTATGCACAGTTTGCTGCCGGAGGCGTCAAAATCAACTACGCCACCTACCGAGGGCGCCGCGCGTTCGGTCTCGCAGACTCACTCTCAGGACGAGGCCTCACAGTCGAATGAGCCCATAATACGGCGGACAAAGAGACGTAACACTCCCGGCATAGGTTCAAGCTACCAGAGCAAGGCACCACGCGCGAGTCGTTCGAAGAAGAAGGATTCTGTGTAAGTCATAGGCTGCTCTATCGTATGAATGCCTCACATCTTTCTTCAGCCGTGCGCCCACAAAAATTCAGAAAGCACAGGGTCCAACACCTGCGCAGGGCCAAGCGGGTGTCTTCGCCTCTCAAGGCTATAGTTTCAAGCTCAGCAAACAACTGCATCGGTACGCGCGATTTTCGTCAACTATTTACTTGAGCGCTAGTGCTCACCAGTCTTCCAAGTTGCTATATCCCCTTCGACGTGTACCAAGACGGAGGGGGATGTATTCTTGACGCCGACGAGTTTGACGAGAAGGACAGTATTTGTGTCACGGTGAATATTGTTTATGATAAGCGCGGTGATGAACATGCAGTCTTACCAGTCACCTAGACCATCATTGCCAGGGACCCGCGATGGCTGGCAAATCAGGAAGAGTGGGAGTCTTACGTTGTAGCACGTCCGTAGCAGATTCTATGTAGTTTGTGTCAGTAAGTAGTTGTTTGAGCTGCACCAAGCCGAACGCTGGTACGACGTTCAGTTCAGTTCGGTGCGGTGGGCGGCGACGTAGTTACAATGAAGATGTCGATGAAGTGACCACGCAACCTTATTCCCAGGCGTCTAGTCGACGAGCTTGAACAAGCGAGGGAAGATCCCCGATGGCAGTAGGCGTAACGGGAAGACAGGTGAAACTGAGCGTCCACGCGTTTTGTCACTTCGGGTGAGCTTCGGGGATCAACCCTAACTTATCCAGAGGCTTCTGTTTGAAGGCGGTTACACTCTCGGTTGCTTCGCGACTCGCATGCACTTTGCCGCGCCCTCAGCCGTCTTCTACACCGACGCCCTCGTCAGCAACTGCTTTCTTACCCGTCTCGCCGCCGCCACCGACACTTGCGACTTCGAAGTATTTGATGGCTTATAGCTCGTGCTGCCGTCTCTTCGCCGTCAACCGTGATCGTCTTGCTCGCGAATTCGGAACCCACCTTGGTTTATAGCAACTCAACTCCGCCGCCGCCGTTATCGCTCCAAGTGAATCCGAAGCCCCGTGTTGGCTTATAGCTTGTGCGCCCGTCTACGTTTACGTCCGCCGCTACTGTCCACCCGTCTACCCGCCCGTCCGACCGCCCATTCGCTTGAAGCCCGTGTGCTTCCTCTGTCCCGCTTCCGCCGCCGCCGCCACCGTCACGATCTCGAATACCCTCATCTAAGCACCCGGACATCTCCCCGATCATGCACGGCTCGTTCGGCTTGATCCTTTGGCGCTGAGGTTTGACTCATACTTCACCGGCCCGTCCTACGCCACAGAGCCTCTCGAGGCCAACGAATATGGCCTCCCGTTCCTCGAAGAGATTACACGTAGGGTCTAGCGTGCGTTCGAAAAAGCTCTTCAGTTCCGCCCATGTAGTCCGATCGCCTACAGGCCTGAGCTTCACGCGTAAACTGCATCTGCAGACTCTGTCTATGCTTGGACTTTCATATAGATGTACAGAGTACCTCGTTTCGAATTGATCCAGGCAAATGCATGCATTATTTGTAAATAGACTGTCGAGAAAAGACATATATATATCCACAGCCGCAGAGACTCAGAGCCTGAGTGCCATTCGATTCTGAAGATACCGCACAAGTTCCTTCAAGAGGTTTGCACCTTCACTTTCTCGTGACCCATACCAGATTGTTCTTCTTCAGGTGTTGAAGGCATGAGAACGCCGAAGGCCAGCCGATGCATGTGTACCAGTCTAAATCCCGCTTCCCGTCCATAAAATACGCGCGCGCATCTTCTCTGGATGAGACATAAGCATAATGGAACAAAGACGTTCAGAAGGCTTACTTGGTCGCGTATATGCCCGGGACTAAGCCCCGCTTCACCACGACGAAGACATGCCCCGTATAGTCTGCATACCACGCCCCTTGCGACGGCTCAGGTTCTGGTATGGGCCCGTCATAAGACGACGGACCACCTCCAAGGTCTTTTGGTAGGTTGCGAAGCTGAAATGAGGTCAACAACCGATCACTCGAGCTCATTTCGCGGCTCGATGGCCACAGGCATGCTGCCTGTAGCGCGACGCGTAATGAATCGCTGGCACCAGGCGGGCTCCGAAGGCTTGATGGAGACTTCTGCGGTCGAATGGGAAGGTGGTGCGGCGCCGCATTCCGCGCGTTCGATGCAGTGGGCGCCTCGGCTGACTGGCTGTTGCAGAGCGGCACGGATAGCGACGGTTGTGTGACCAGGTGCATATTGGCGGCTAGCGTAGCATCGTTCGCACGAGCTGCGGCAGTTTAGCCCAGAGTAATAGGAATCTATATACATGAACGAACCGTGTGCAAGACTTTGAACTTGAGCCTGCCGACCATGTGTTGACGAGTGCGTCGAGGTTGCGACCCCAGAGGTCCGCGCGGAATTGCCTAAGTGTCGGCGGGAAATCAATGATCGTAAGCAAGAGAGACGAGGCAAAACTTGAGTAGCAAATGAGAGCTTGGCTCACTCTGTGCACATCGCGGTGGCGAGTCCAGACTCTGACTAGCGAAGGCGCCAATTAGGCCATGCAAGCGCGGGCTGGGAGTGCGAGAAGCGTGATTGTGATACATCGTTGTGCCTGTGGCAGATGAAGCCTTGAGCGATGCGGCCCTGTTGAGAGGCT